CTTGTCCTACCGAAAGGCAGGGCAAAATCACTGTGCGCACTGTTCAGTTTGTTTTTCCGCATGGGGTTGCGATGAGGCGTTGCCATCTCGTGCTAATCAAGAGCCCTGATGGAACGAGGCCAACGAGCGCGCGTTCTCCGCGCGGAGTGCCGCCAAAATCTTGTCGGTCTCAGCTTGCGCCGCCTTCAGCTCATCCATTTCACCCCGAAGCTTGGCGTACTCCTCGATGGAAACCTTGTCCTCGGGGTCGTCCAGCAGCTCCTTCTGCTTGTTGCTGCGAGTTGGAGAGCCAGAGCCAGAGCCAGGAGATAGCAGATCATCAGGTGCATCGGAGAGCTCAGAGCTGTCAGAGTCAAGCTCGTCGATGCCCTTGGTGCCGCAGTGGTAGTTGACGAAACCGGTGTCCTTCTTCTTCTTCTTCCTGCCCTTGTCCTCGGAGGAGCCGTCACCGCCGTCTCTAGAGACGTTCTTGCTACTAGCACCCTCGCTGAACACGTCCTTGCTGAAAGCATCCTTGGAGACAACATCATCAGCTTGGGCACCATTCTTTCGAGCAGCTTGCACGGGGACAGCGACGACATGCTTCACGGGAAGTACATTCGAAAAAGTAACGCCCATAGCATCACCAGGGTACTGTTCGTCCGGCTGAGATGCCGAAGTCTCTGACTGAACAACGTAGGTGGGGGATGACGAGTTGTACTGGGTTGTGGTCTTGCGCTTCTTCTTCATCTTTCCGGGAGACATCTCGCCCTCAGAGTCAGTGGCCATGGCTGGGTGGTCATGCCGAATGACATTCACACCCGGTTGACTACGCTTCTGGCGCTTCTGAGCCGACTGTCGCGGTTGTAACATCATCTGAGAACCCGGAGTTGCTCCAGGACCGTCAGTGTCATCGTGGTCACCGGACGCGATCATCTCAGCCGCAGTACGCCTACCCCGAATCGGACGATTCTGATGGTGCTGGTCGTTGTCACGGCCGACCTTGATCCACTGGCCGCGGTGGGCGTTCGAGACGCAGTTGACGATGGTGCTACTGTACAGCTTGTGGGGAGCGCCAATCGTAGTCCAGGTCTTCTCGTTCTTCATCAGTGTAACGCCGGTCTGTTTGGAGGTCTTCAGCACCTCACAGATCCACTCTATACGCTGTCCGAAGGTCCAGTCCTTGGTCTGGCTGATGTTGTCGATGATGGTCTTATCGTAGATGCGAACTTTGAAGCCGTTCAGGTGAATGTCCTTGGCCATGCCGACGATGTCCCAGGAGCACGCTTCAATAGCCCAGTCCTGGTAATAGACACCTTCACCCGGAGTTAGCCGCTTGCGGTAAGCGTTGCCCTGGGTGTCCTTGGCGCTGGTCATATCCTTGAAAGCTAGCATCAACATTTTGACGAACTTACGATACTCTGCGTCGGTCTCGGGGATGGAGGGGTCGACCTCTGGAGAATACCACTGAGGCTCGTCCATGGGCGCCCTAGCTTCTTCTAGGGTCTTGAAGCGGAAGCCGTCGACCTCTGGATAGTCACCGTCCTTGTCCAGAAGCTGGGAAATCTTGGTCTTAATGCGAGACGGATCCTTGAGACCGCCGGGTACCTTTTCCAGGCGCGTGTCCGCAAGGCGGGGAATGGGAGGACCGAAGGGAACGGGAGCACGAGCACCAACGGGAGTTGAGGGAGATGCAGTCTGGCTCTGGGTCACCATCAGGTTCTTGTTGGTTGTGCCCTTGGGGGTGTCCTTATTGGGGTCGTGGTCGGTCATATTGGGGTATTTGGGGCGGCGGCTGGGGTTTTGGTTTCAACGGTTACTGCTTGCAACTAAGACACCTGTTAGTGAACTCCAGCATCTATTTTCCAGCACCGGTGGAACTTACTCGAATAATTGATGAGATCTATGCGGCGTGGGGGTGAACTGGCTGCGGGAGTCTCCCGATCTTTATGTTCGCAAGGCTTGACCACCGGGCTAGTGAAAAGGACGCCAACCTATTGAAGTAAATCAAGTCGACTGCTGATCAAGCGGCGACGGAGTGAAGTAGGAAGTCAAGATCGCCTGTGACGAGCGCGGATGATCTAAACGCGAAGAGGATATCAATTCCGAGAGCCCAGCACTGCGCTCTGTGAAAGAAGAGGAAGGTTTGTTGTGGTGATCGGTGCCTGTTGCTGGGGGGGGGCTGCGCGCGTATCGACAGCACAGGCGTGAGTAACGTGCGTCCAAGGGTCTTGGCATCCTCGCATTCACCTAGGACCTGAGCGTTTGCTACACCCACGACCCATTGCCCCGATCCACAAGACCTCGTAGCACTTGCTGCATGTCGATAGCGTGTAGTGTCGTGATGTCCGTCTTGCCTGGGATACTGCGCGAGGTCGGCGTCGTGCGATATGGCCTTGTCGCGTGCGATGTTGCCTGTGACCTATGTTAACACACTGACTTCCTTACATAGAATGACTTCTTGTTGAACTGAAAGACATAAGAGCTAATGGCGTACCATAGGGACCTTATGAAGACCGGCGACAATACGGATGCGCGAGGCCGTCGCAGGCCCGTCAGCATATACGATTGCAGCTGGCAGCGACAGAGCGCGCGACCGACTACATACCGTTCAGATTCCGACAAAGCGATGTCTTGCCAGACCTGCGCTTTGCAACCTCTCCGGATGTGCGATAAGGCGTTGTATGACCCGCGTATGCATGAGCAAGTCCGTCTTGCCAGGCCTACACGCGTTCTGTCCGGCTTTTTGATGGGGCGTTGTATGTCCTGCAAGTGCATGTGCAAATCCATATCATAAAGACGCGAACGGATCTTCGTCGACCAAGACTGGCAAGCAGCAATATACTTCATGCGAAACAGTACCATGAGATAATGTAATCCCTTCTCTTTCAGGTATCACCGGGGTCTTTCCAAGCAAGAGCGATCCAGGCGGGATGCGTCATGTGACCTCCTTACCCGGCGGGAAGGTGGACATTTTTGATCGGGAACGAGACTGGGACCAGAGGTAGGAGAGAGTACTTCCATCACACTTGGATGCGACATTCTCGTGTTGGAAGCCGCTCTTGTCTAGGAGATGTTTCTTCGGTGAGATGCAGTCGAGGTTGCGTCAGTTGAGTGGCTCGACAGCAGCGGTAGCCGCACGACCACGGCGTGGTATGCCATCGCGGTGTGTGGAGAAGAGTTGGATGCTAGTGGCTGTGAGTATGGGCGCGAAAAGTTTCGAAGTGCAATGAGTTTGCATAGACTGGCTGGTGCGCGGCAAGGAAGGAATGTTGCCTTGGCATGTTTGTCTCGTGCGAGTCAGACGCGTCGAAACGGCAGTGGCTGTATCGCGCCGTCGGTTGAGCTCATGTTACCGATGATCTCAATCGGAGAAGCGTTGGCAAGATCGCGTCCGGTGCAGCATTGTGAGGGTCGCGGTGATGGTGGTGGGTGTGGGCGTGGCCCGTCGGCTTTTATGGCAGCAAAGCCATCGAAGCCAGCGTCGGGAAAGGTCTGGACCGTTGATCACATGAAGACATGAGATTCAATTGCCTCCCTGGGTGAAAGTATCAGTAAAAAGAAGGACCCGGCGGTGGCGAGATTGACGATGCTGTCGACGTTTGGTGGAAGCGGATGAAGTTGTAGGTTGCGGAGAAGGAAGGCAGGAACGAGGGGCAGGCTCGCCGTCGCTAGCGCGCATTGATCCCACCTCAAAATCAACGACAAACCTTCATGGACTTCGCCTAGTGCACGGCCGCTTCTTGCTTCTTTCGAGGACTGGTGCTGTACACTTTTGTAAGCTTTCATCGAGTACAGTCGTGTCCAGGGAATGCTCTTCGGATTGCCGCGATGCGCCACTCTCCGCGGCGAACGCGCGGCTGCAGCGGCTGCAGGTTGATGGGCTCGCTCCGCGTCGCCATCACATTCAATCGCTCAAATTCTCCTTTTCAGATCTCATAATTGAAGACGCTGCCTTCGGCATGATTTCGAAGGAAGTTTTTGTCGCGAAAATCAGCGAGCACGTGCCGTCAAAGACACAATACCGTCCGAGTCATAAGCTACCGAGCGGCTGATGGATGGACTTGCTTTCTTTGTCTTGAGCTCTCTGGTCCGACTGAAAGTCCAATAGAGATCGGGTTTCTTGGTTGCTCCATTCGGCATGCCTTGGTTGAGGCAGCACGACACAGCAAACGTCTACCTGGAGGTTAGTTGAGTCGGTATTGTCGTCTCCCGCTTACTATTCCAGGCGAAGCGAGCATGCTCGGTTGAGCGGCGCAGCTGTCAGGGTTGATCTTGGAAGAGTCTTTGCGTTTGCTGGAATAGTTTGTCGAGTGCAACATCTGGGAGTGCTTTGTCGGTTGAGACAAACACCTGGGTGGTAGTAGTCAAGTAGTGACGTGGAATCCTCGAACACTTATGGGTAGGCTGTCTTTCCCGGTCCCGCAAGCAATCTCGCTTTCCTTGCTCTTTCACATCCCCTTGAGGACTGTCTTTCAAACCCCATTCACAAGTTCGTACCATTTGGAATGGTACGGCGGAAAGGATGCAGCAGGACAAGCCTAGAAAGAGATATATACAATCGACAGTAGGATTCTTGCACTTACATTTCGCTATATTAGACGGCGTCGAGGGGCTCTGGCTTACTTATACTTAGTTTAGTTGGGTTTATATACTTGACTGGCAAGAAACAGCGCGATGCCTCGAAAGTTGATACGTAGTATCGCTACTGGGTTTGCCGCCTGCATGAACACTTCGGTCGCCCTCACGCTTTGGGCTTGGCGCTACAGTGATTTCCTCCTATATCGCCCCTCCCCCGCCTTGGAGTGACCGCCGTGTGAACACGTGATTCACCCTCTGATCCACTCTATCCGAGTTGGGAGCCTTCTGCCCCGCGCCACAAACAAACTCCTAGCGCGTTGTACCCGTGTAGTATTTCTAGGGCTTCATTTCGAGCTCAAGGAAAGATCACTCCCCTCAACCACTTCGATTCACAACCACAACTTGCAAAATTCATTTCATACGACGACGACAGCTTTACAATGAATTCCAACAACCCCTTCGCGGAGCAATCCCAATACACTGACGAAGAATTCGAAGACATCATGACATTCCTTAACGAAGATCCCGCTGTATCATCAACCCCTAATACCGCGCCAGAGACTTCACTGCCCCACGGCTCAGTTGGACAGAACGAGTTCGGACAGGACGTCTCCAGTGCACTTTCGAACGACCAATACTGGCAACATCCTCCGCCTGAGACCCTTACAAATAACAGCGGCTACTACAGCCAAGAACAGACGGACACGTCCGGGAGCGTCCAACCTGGACATTTCGTCCCTGGTATTTACTCGCCTGGAGGATACGAGCAAGTACGACTGCAGTACCAGCACCGAACAGAACCTACTGTGGCCCGCGGTACGTCGACATGGTTATCTTTACATGCGTCGAGCTTACACTGACTTCTTCTAGACTCACCCAGCAGCTTGGACAACGAGGCTTCATATTCCCCGGCTGCGGCTAACCCAAGTTATAACACTGGAACAACTCGCGCCTGGAACAATCAACTCAACATGTACACTTCTGGCGAGAGCGTACCCGGACAGTCGGCCCATGACTGGAACCTGCAAGGAGGTCACAATCACGGAGACACTGGCCGCCGGTATCAGCCAGAGAACAACGTAGCCTTCGGTAAGTCGATATGATATACACTCTGTGTCGCGCGCTCACACTGACTTCTTCTAGGCTCGTCCAGCAGCTTGGGAAACGACTTTATGTACCCCTCGACTGCGGCTAACCCGGTCCAAAACACTGGGCGTCCAGTCTTAGTACATGATCGTACACCATCGCCCGGCTGGATGAATGAGTCGACGAACCCGCCAATCGTGAATCAGACCCCTGCGTCATCGAGGAGCAATCCGCGATTCGTACGTCGGGACCCAGTGCTGGGCCATAGGCAAGTGCAAGACTTTGGAGTTCCTTCGAACTATCCATCAGCGCCTGTTCACACATCACATACAAGCCGCCCATCCAGGATGCAAGGACTACCGTCAGGCTTTGCGCAGCCTCTGAGCGCTGCATCATCGCCCTCTTCCACACCAGCACCTCATCGCGGACCAGACTCTCGTCACGCACCAGCAGATTTCCGAGGCTCAGTACCGACTCATGTATCAGAGCCGGGTCATGCGCCAGTCATGTTCTACCCGTCGACAGGGGGCCACCCGCCATCAACAGCTCGTGGACCGGTAGCCCCGCCCGATTCAATCGTCAGCCCTACGCCAGGATTTCAATATGGATACTTGCCCCCACAAGTACCAGGACTGCATCGTGCACCAGAGCTGCGACACCCATCAGGCCCGCAACACGCACCAGGGCCTCAATATGCACCTGGACCGCGAGTTAGATCAGCGCCGCCACCTACGTCGGCGACCCCTGATACATTCATGAGGCACCACCCGCCTGTCACCAACCACCACGCACCCGTAATCAACCATCCAGTAGCGACCGGTGATCCACCTGCGCCCCAGCTGTCCGAGAATAAGGACGCTGGAACTGGCGAGCAAGCTGCTGAAGGCGCTGACAGCGCGGGCGCTGTTAAATCCACCACACCCAAGCACATTCTTGAAAAAGAGAAGCAAGCCCGGGCCGCGATCAGGAAGTTGAAGGCCAAGACCAGTATGGATGGGCAGATGGGCGAGTCTATCACTATGGTTCGTACCAACACTGGAGTTGAGTTCAGCGGTACGATGTGGAAGGCGCCTGCCAATGATGTGACCATTCCTACAACAGAAGATGACATCAAGGCCTGCGTCAATGCTCTTGACCTGGCAATGCACAACGTCGAAAACATCCGGGAGAAGGCCGATGTCAAGTCATCTAACAATCGGTGGAACTCTGAGTCGAAGTACTATTTCCCGGAAGAGTACAATGCAGCTGCTGGCCTGCTTGTGGTAAGTTTAAATCGAACTGTATGCCTCTGCCATCACTAACGTAACATAGAAAGAGCTTATCAAAATCCACACCGACGGTTGGACCAAGCAGATCTTCGACCAGAACGAGCGTGAGCAATGTCAGCTTACCCAGTTCTACACCTTTGAAGATCGATTTGAAGGTCTTCGGGAACTGCTTCACGTAAGTATTCTGTCTTGATCATTATACGAGTTGATGCTAACCATACATAGTACTCCAAGACGTCTTGTCAGGACATCATGAAGGGTTCCCGTTTCTACACGATCATCGCGAATCCACGTAACTTGATCCACCGCACGGCCACCAACAAGACTGCCAACGTCAACAAAGGCCAGCAGATTCGGGCAGGTAAGGTGGCAATAAAGAAAGAAAGCAGCAAGGCAGCTTCTTCCAGCGCGACACCTTCTTCCAGCGGCGAAGACAAGAACAACAAGGCAACACAGCAGGATGGCGAGGAGGGCTCCAACAGCGAAGAATCCACAAAGGTCAAGAAGGCTTCAAGGGGCAAGAAGCGCGTTCGCGAAGAGACCTTCGTTGCAGAGGATCCAGCTGGCCAAGCACCTCGCAAGAAAGCGCCTGTGAAGAAGCGTCGCAGCGAGTGATGGCTAGCGCTTCCAGTCCGTTGCTTACCGGCGCGTTATACCCAGGGTGACAGAGTTATTTGGTTTCTGTTTTTCTTTTCAAAGCTCGGCGAAGTGTCAGAAATGACGTCACCGCCTTGCTCACTTGCGTTGCTTTTGGTTTTCTTGACTTCCTTGTCCTCACTGCCACGGAGCGGTGTCGCGGGAAGTACCTTTTTCTTATCTCCTAATAGTTGTTTCTCAATCTCATGTCAAAAGTGCGTTGCCACACACAGCGTCTTCCAAGATTGTAGCGGGCGTATGATAGTGCTAGCCACGCTCTAGTCCTGCACCCTAATACCAAATGTCATACACTTCCCCACCTACTTCGCTGCCGATCTTTCCAACCTTGAGAAGACTCAATGTGTTTCATCTGCCCAGGCATCAGCTCCGATGCTTCCGTAGTAGATTAAATGAGGTGCAGGTAGCCGACGATAGATTAACCAATCTCACAAAAGTTCCCCAGTAACGCCGAGACTGACCGATGAATCTCAACTACAACATTTCGTTGTCACTGTAGCGCAGTATTCTATATGCATCACCCTGTGACAGAGTATGACAGCGATCACGCGTCCGGTAGATGTCGCATCCTCGCTTTCGCTTGAGTAACACACCAACAAATTCATACGGACCTGAGGCAAGATTGGGATCACCATGACATCGAGAACAGAGATGTGCTGAAGCAAGTTGATTACATGCACTGCATGTGTGCAAAAGTTATATACAAAGAATCCTCAAAAGTTCCAAAATCCACATCTACCACCCAGTCATCGGAGATGACCACAACACCCTCACCCGACTAAAGTGCCGAGCGAGTCGAAGTACTTGTCTAGCAAGACTTGACAGCGGAAGCAGTGTACTTGCAGTTGCCGGAGGGGCCCTTGGAGACGGACTTGGGCTCAGAGCCGGGCTTGGTGCCCTTGAACTCCTCGCAGATGGTCTTGACGGAGGTAGCGCAGGTGCCGGAGATGGTAGCGGTACCGCCGAAGTTGGGGTTGATACCGGCAAGGACCTTTCCGTTGTAGGCCTTGACGTTCTTGATGACGACAGAGCGGGCGACGCTGTTCTTGCAGTTACCGCAGGCGCGGTAGAGCTTGCCGAAGTTCATGACGGCTGGGGGATGTTAGCAGTGTTCAGAGGAGTGTAGTGTCGGGGATCTTACTGAAGCCGTCAATGGTGACCGTGCCCTTTCCGTTGTGCTGGATGACCTTGTCGTCAGCGGCCTGGGCACCTCCGCCCTTGATCATGGCGTTTCCGTCACCCTTGAGGGAAAGCGCATCCTCGCAAACGTCGACCCACCAGACGTTCTCGATGGTGCAGGATCCTGGTTCGAATTAGTATCTATGACTCGTTGTTTGTACGGAAGGATGCTCACCCTCGCAGTGGACACCCTCAATCTGGTCCTTTCCGATAATAGCGTTCTTAAGAGTTCCGCCGTTCTTGATGAGGAAGACAGCGTCCTTGTCGCCACCCTCAACCTGGCCAGTGCAGCTAGCACCACGGCCGTAGGTCTTCATGCCACCATCGAAGGTTCCGCTGACTTGCTGGGGAGCCTTGTAGGTGACGGAGCCCTTGGAGGCGGGGATCGGGAGGGAAGCGCGCTTGGCGAAGGAGGAGAACTCGGAAGGAGTAACGGCGGCAGGGCCGGCGGCGGCGAAGCCAGTGATGGCAGCAACGATGGCGATGGAGAACTTCATGTTGACGGTTGAGTTGGTTGATCGAAACTGGAAAATCGAAGAGGATGCTTTGAACAAAGTATGTATAAAGAATGTAAGTCTCTGAAAGAGGTAGCGAAAGTGGATGCTTCAAGCAAGAATAGACTGAATGAATGTGATGGTGGTGGTGATTCCTTTTTGCCGGTGGTCGCTGTGATACTTATACTCCCCCTCAACTCGCCTTTTGGTACCACACTGAGGCACTCCACAATCGTCCGAAGATGTGCCATGTGGAAGACAGGGTACTGTTCCTCTCCGGCGGTACTGATGAGCCCAGGCCCAGAGTGTCATGCGTATCTGAGTAGGATGGCCCAGAAGAAGACGCTCGCAGGGTTCCGAGGACGTCAGGGCCGTGCTCTGGTGGGGCTTGGACGTTGGAAACACGCTCAGGGCGGGATATCTCGATAGCACCCATGCCAGGCTCATTTGTACTGTGGAGTTGGTAGAGAGTGAATTAACCAGTAAGCACCGTCTTGTCTTCCATATTCAACTTCCGTCACACCAGCGCGATAAGACATCAGTTTGCATCTCAGAAAGACGAGTTCTGGGAGACGACTTGAGAGACATCGTATTCTGGAACGCCACACGAACGCACACGAGAATGGATTTACCACCAGAAGCCAGGAAGCCGTTACATGTCCGATCGACTAGTGCTGGATCCAGCCTGTCACACCGACGCCAACGCTCGCCAAAATGCCAAGCTTTGACATGAAACCGCTCAAATATCCACATCGTAACCACCTATCTGGAACGCCAAGGAGAACTGAAATTTCCGCTCGTTGTTCGAAAACGTCTGGCCAGTCAAGCATTTCTCCGGGAACATCATTGGGGTCCTGCCAAGACACATTTGCGATTCGTGTCACGGGGCGAGCCTTGCGCTAGAATCTGGCTAGAGTGTGAGATAGTTTCAATGACTTTCTTTTCGATATCTCCGCCAATCGCGACGCTTCCTGGAGGGCGTAAAACACCAGCTCAAGGCGTCTTGGCACGTCATGTCACGCAAACAGGTGTCGTGCATGACGCCCAGGTGCCATTCCTAGGTGTACCTCTGTTCACCACGCTGATTAGGATCCCGCGTGTTCAAGAGTCGCTGACAGGACTTGCTTGCCAGGTTGATGCAGCCGGCTGACGCCAACCGCCCTGGAGGTTAGCTGCGTTGCGACTCGAGACGACGTCCAAGGCTGGTCGTCAAACGATCGCTCAGCCCATCCACGGAATACACATGTTGTTGTAGTTAGTAGTACTGTGTCATGGCACGTCGATTACTGATCGACGTAGAGTCGCGGAGTCGTGGGTACTGCGCGTGTCGTGCCGTGTTTCGCTGGTCGCGATCGGGTAGTCGTCTTCCGATTGCACGACTGCTATTTTGCGTCCTGCGTCGACACGATCCCTGTTCGGTCCTTCGCGATCTCTAGATCTGTGTACTATGCTTGGGAGATGCGAATTCGTGTCGTCCAAGACGGAGTAATATCGAAAGTAAGAACGTACTACCCAGGTTTCATGAAGGGCCGCAGCAGCGGACCGCACAAGTGTGGCGCAACGATGTGGCTCAGGGATGTGGCGCGGGGTTTTGATCTCCACTTCCTCCCGATTGCGAAAGTGCCCGACACGGCACAAGCAACGATAATAGCCCGGTCCAGAATCATCCCCTTCCAACTCCTCACCGTACTGCAACAACATGCATCTACCCAGCTAGCTACGATTGTACACGTCGTCAACTAGAGGAAGCAATGCACAACTCGTCTTGGCCGCTGCGATGATGCCCAAGCGCAGATTGGACACGAAAATTTTGCCAGACTGAAACACTGTGACGAAAGATCTTCAATCGCATTTTCAGAAAGCCTAAAGTTATTTCACGCCCCTAAGAGCGGAGTTCGTTGGTGCCGCAGCAGCCAATCGCATGAAGGCGTACTTTTCGAAATGAGACATTCATCTAGGCTGCTGGTATCCGTCCGCATAAGAATGCATCCAGCTAACCAGAGTGGATATGCATGTTCTTCTAGATCAGCTGGAAGCTAGCGGTGAGCTTATCGCTTTCAGGCCACACCCTCTTCCGATGCAATCTGCAGAAAAACCGTCCCTATCTTCGTAGATCAAGAAGAGCTTCGATCGGTAGGTATGCGCTAGAGAAAGACGCATTCAGTTCATTTCACCGCGCATCCTGTGCTTGGGAGGAGGAGTCGAATACTTGACTCCTATCACATATCCACAACATCGTACCTCCCAAACTTATCGCACTTCGCCGTCCTACCCTCCCACCCCTTCTCCATGCACCCCTCTATATACTTCTCCCGCCTCGCGTCCGCCACGATCCAATCTCCAGTTGTCATCTTCTGCCCACTCAGTCTGACCACCTGCACTTTCAATTTAGTACCAACAACCTCCCTCAACCCCTTAATTCGCTCAACAAAATCCTCCATCACCCCCTGATCAGCAGCCTCCATATCACACCACCTCGGCAGCACAAGCCTAATCACCTCCAGATTCATACACTTCCCGAGCGCAGCACAAACATCCTTAACACTACTATCATACTCCCACCCATCAGGAACGTCGAAAGGGATCTGCTTAACCAGTCTGACAGCCGCGCGTTTACTCACCGCCGGCCTAATCTTCTTCCATCGCTGCTGCGCCGTGAATTGAACCGGTAACGGCAGCGTGATACACCTGGTATACTGCCACGCATACTTTTCTCTTGAAGTGAACATGAACGCACTTGTGAACATCCACGCACTAGCAACCATCCACCCATTCATACCACTGAAGCGCCACTCGTTCTCTCTGTAGAAGTAAAACGTAGCTTCATGTCTTACCTGTCTGCTCACTCTCAGCAAGTTCAGGTTGACGCCGCATCTCCGCATCTTGACTTTAAGGTACTGCATGTTGCGGTTTGCGGTCACAATTTGGTGCGAGGCAATCGGGTTGTCTGTTTCGGGCCAGAGTTCGATGGGGAAGGGTAGGGTGAGTGCGGAGGCATAGATCATGCAGCGGAGTTCAGCGGGGAGGTCCATGAGCCGGAATGGCTGGCTGGGCCGGCTGGAGGGAGGGGAAGGATGCGGATATCTTCGCTCGGCGTAGAGTTTGGGGTAGCGAGTGTAACGGCGGAGTTGGCGAGTCGTGCAAGGAGGCGGTAGGATGCTGTTCGCAGGCATAGTTGCGGTTGGTTTCATGATCCGATGATGAGGTGCTTGCGAACGTTGGCGTAGTATAAGGCGGAGGACGTAGGGCGGGGATAGAAAACTCCAATAGGAATACGCGCTGGATCAC